GTCAGTCATCCCACTTCCAGTGATTATCATCTCCTCCTCGGAGGGTCTTCTAAGATTGGAATTTCTCCAAAGGTAGAAACCCTGATTTTGTGTTTCACAGCTCAGCACCAATCACGTGGCATAGGCTTAGAGATCGGGCAGGCAGAATTAAGTTGAAAACTGAAGTTTAAATATTGAAGTCACACAGAGGAAAAACATGCCTGTGCTGATGACACTTAAAGATGACTTAATCAGATCCATGGTTACTTATGTGGTTTAACTAATAAGGATTCTAATGAAGAATTAAACTTTAAATTTAATTGAGGCTTTGTAGCTAAAACCTGATGGGATGGGTAAATATTTCTCAGATTTACTAATAGTCAACACGAAAATCTTTATTATAATAAAGTACAACACTAACCTAAGATTATGACCCTGAAAATTTGGTTATAAACTTTTCATCACAGTCCACTTTTGAGTACCATGTTATTTAAAAACCTACCCCATTCCCTTTAGACAGTCTCTCTTTAGGACGCCCTGGCTGTCCTAGAACTCAGCATTAGTTTCTACTTCTCATTTCTATTCAGACTAAAAAACTTCAAATTTCCACTCACAAATTTTCTCCTGAGGGAAATGGCCTGTTGAGGTAACACTCTAAAATGTCCAGGCTGGGGCAATACAACTATCTAATACCCAGCCTTCTCTGAACACATTTCTGTCTAGATCCCCTCCCCCAACCTCTCCCAGTTATCCATACAGAGTTATCAGAGGCTCTCCCAGGGAGCTCTCCTAGTAACCAGGGAGCTGTGGTCAATAACCTATGAACAAGGTAATGCCCTGTGTGTCATGCAGTTAATACTGAACTATGACACAGAGGTCATCTCTCCATTGGAGAACTTCCCAAACTCCACAGCTGTGGCAGTGAACTGTGAAAAGCGAATAATCACAGCATCGCAGTGGAAACAGCCGGCTCATGACAACCATCAGTTCTCACCCGTGTATCTTCTTAAAGGCTTGCAAATACTTTAGGGCTTCTTGTCACAACACATTCTCTTTTGTTTTCCCTCTGACCAAACATATGCAGAGAAACAGACCAAAGTTGGCGGACTCATTCCTTCATGTATATACACACATAAACACACACACACAACACACACACTTTTTTTTTGTTTTGTTTTTGTCTTTAACATATCTGGGGAATTTACAGTGAATAAAACAGATGGGACCTTTACTCTAGAAAGCATACAATCTAAAATATAGAAACTGTAATACTTAGGTTTTTTTCAAGTCACACAAACTGGGCTTGGGGGAGGGGGATGTCACTGCAGTAGAGAACTAAAAGGTCCTCTGAATCACTCATTAGACTCCCATCTTCTGGATCCAACCAGCCCAAAAGTTTACATGACCTCAGACCTTCCTACTGTTTCTGCTGCCTAAGGGAAGCTACAGGAGATTTGGTTTCTGAAACTTCCTGGGCCCTTTAACAATCAAGCTTAGACCTGGAGAACTCTACAATTGCAATCCTATGTGTGAGGTCTGTGCATGTGTGTGCGTGTGCATGTGTGTGTAATTTTTCAGCTGGCACCAGTTTTTAATAAGTTAACCTATAAAGTAAGATCCCTCCCACCCTTCTTGCCTGTAAGAAGGCAGATACAGAAGGAATTGCAGCTCAGGAAGCAAGGGGAAATGGTACACAGTTCTGCATTGTAAGAAGGATTTGAGCTGGGGTAGGGCTGGGGGAGGGGATGGGAGAGTAGTGACCAGAAAGCAGAAAAAGAGAAGAAATCAGAGCCAACTGGTGTAGGAGCCTGGGATTCTCCTTTGATGATGACCAAAATCAATCTGGTGGAGTCGGGGTCTTACTGTGCAGCACTGGCTGTCCTGAAACTTGAAATACAGACCAGGCTGGCCTTAAACTCAAAGAGATCAGCCTGCCCCTGCCCGCCAAGAGCTGAGATTAAAAATGTGTGTTACCACACCGAGGTGGGGTTTTGTTATTTCGTTTTTTTAATCTGGGGGGGTTGTTTTGTTTGTTTAGACAGGGTTTCCTTTGTACCCCTGGCCATCATGGATCTCATTCTGTAAAACAGGATGGGCTCAAACTCAGGAGATCTGACTGCCTCTGCCTCCCAAGTGCTGAGATTGAAAGCGTGCCATCAGCACCTGGGTTGGTTTTGTAATTTTTAAAGACAGGATTTCACTATGCACCCACAGGCTGGCCTCAAACTCATGGCAATCTTCTTTCGTCATAGTCTCTGGAATGAATGACATTACAGTTGTGTGTCTCCACACCCAGTTCCCAAACACACTTCCGACACCTACTGTTCCACGTGAACACCCCACCAGCACTGCTCTCTAAACTCCACCTCCCCGTCCCCAAATCTCACAAAGTTTATCACACACATCCAAAAAGACTACGCAAACCCCTTTTCTTTCTCTCTTCTTTCCAGACTTCTCTTTTGATGTCTATCCAACGTGCTCAGTTGATGTGTCTGTCAGTCACCCTGAGATGGACTTCCCTTACTTCACCATCAAGTGTTTTAAACTGCTTCTTCCACCATGCCACTACCTCACCAATAGTGTTGTCATTAAAGGAACAACTAATATTTATTCAGCACTTGGACTGCACCACAGACTGTGGCAAGGGTATTACATGCGTAATTTCACTTAATCCTTAACCCTTACTAAATAGTACGATGACTATTTCCTGCCTGTTAGGGAATCAAAACTCAGGTGGAATAGTAATTTGGAAGGCAACTGGAAGAACCTGACCCCTCTTTTGCCTCCATAAGCAGCTTAACTGGTTCACACCCATGTGCCCCCTACCACCTCCCCCCAAAAAAAGCCAGGAATCACAGGACATAGTGGCACAGGCCTTTAATCTCAGCACTCTGAGAGGCAGAGGCAGGCAGATCTCTGTGAGTTTGAGGCCAGCCTGGTCTCCATAATGAGTTCCAGGTCAGTTAGAGCTATACATTGAAATCCTGTCTCTAAAACAAAAACAGAAAACAGACAAGCTAAAAAACCAGGGATCATCTTTCATTACTCCTGCCTAGTCAGTCATCTTAGGAGTCCACACCTCCTGAACGCGCACCAGCTTTCTTCAGACTGACAACAAGCTTTGGCTGATTTTTTACTGAGCCATAGCCATAACTGTTTTTATTTCTCCGGGTTTTCAAATCCCATCAGACTAAAATGCTAAAGAACAAAGAGCGGGTTAAAAAAAAACCTTTGCAAACACAGATTATATGCACAGAGACTATACAGTAGCAGCCCCATTCTGTTTCTCACCTACTGTCTGGACCCCCACTGTCCTCCAGCCTGTTACAGTTATCTTTATGGAACGCAAATCTACCACAGCATCTTCTTACTTGAAATTAACACCTCACTATCACTGACTGGATGAAGTGTCCAAACGTCTTAATGTGATATACAAAATCCTTTCTTTTTATCATTTCAACAGACATCTGAGGGTCCACTTGTAAAACGTACCATGAACCCTGCCTAAGATGAACAACAAGCCAGCCCCTGACTCCCATTACTTTAACCCCAAACATTGTGATCTTCAGATTAACCATATGCAGAGCAGATAATGTCATATTCTACAGCCATAAGCATTTAGGATGTTCCCAGAGAGAGTCTGTGCCAATTTGAAGATCGCCTAGGATTTCTCTGTCACATTCTAGGCAGAAGTGATTTGAAGTTCCCACATCGCTTTGTTCAAATTACTCTCAGGTAGTGGACTAAGAAGTATACAGACAGTGAGCAACTTTGGACAAGAAATGATCCTTTTCACCAAAGTCTGGAAAGCAGTAGACACTGAGTAGCTAAATGTTTATACAATGAAAAGGTTCAAACTTGAAGATTAGAGGAACAAAACACAGACTTAGTGGATGGACTGAATTAAAAGCAATGTGACTCTAGAGCTGGTTTGACTTGGCCTACATTTGACCCCTTTGGGAAAACTCACATGGAATTTGGCTAAAACGGCAAAACCTCCTTAGCTCTGGCTCAACAATGATCAGCCGGCCAAATAGGACACTAGATTCCCCCACTTCCTTCTTTACCTGCCAAAGTCCTTTTTTTCCAAAGGTGTGGGGAGGATGTTCAAACCTATCAAAGCAAACAGGACTGACCTACTGAGATCCAACTTCGTCTGTGCTGTGTCACTGTGCAGGCTAGAGAAAAAGCAAATTGTGTCCTGGGAAGGAGGCCAATTTCTAAGTACTGTGACTACAAAGAATGTGACATTCTTAAAGTGAAGGCAGTTTGGATAAACTGGGGCTCACGGAGATTCCTCCAACTATCCTTGCCATTGGCTTCTGTGATTTTTTTCTTTTTTTAAGAAAAATTAGCGGGGTGTGGGGCACACGCCTTTCTAACCCCACAGCACTCAGGAGAGAGGCTGATATCTGTTGAGTTCCAGGCTAGCCAAGGCTACAGAGTGAGAAGAGAAAATTGATTCGATAAAGCCAGCCGGAAGCGTCCCTTAGGCTCCTGGCAAACACACAATCTTAAATGCAAACAGAAATACTAGAACACTCCATTGAAAAGTCCTTGTGTGAAACGTGGCAGAAAGCTTTGAAAAGCCAGCGATGTCTTTCCCAAGAGGTGCTTTGTGCGCAAATGCTTCCAAATCAGAATTCATATTTTGGAAATTATAACCCCCACGCTCCCAAACACGTTAAATCTGAAGAGAAAGGTGAGAATTCCCCCGCAACAGGCTGGGACGGGGAGGAGGGTCTCTCTGCTCATCCCTTCCAGGACACAAAACCAGAGGGCTGCTAGCTAGCGCCACTCTAGCTTCCGACAACGTGCAGACGCGAAGTGCAAGAACTCGTCCTCAAACCTCCATGTCTTGAAAAGCGAGAGGCGCGCAGACCTGCACTGGGGCTCCTGGAACCCGCACCCACACCGGGCCGGGGCAGACCCCACGCGGCCCCCAGCGGTTCCCCCAGATGGTCCCCTCTATCCAGACGCCACACCCCGTGACCGCCCGCACCTGAGGCGAAGTAACTCACTGAAGGAAAGCGCCGGGCTCCCCGTGGGCGTGCTGACGAGGACGCCGCCGGGCTCCGCTCCGCCGGGACTCGTCGCCGCCGATTTCCTGGCGAGAAGCAAAGTCCGGCCAAGACTTTACTTCTCAACCGCCCCTGCTGCCTTTCCCCTCGGGGGCGAGCTCAGAGGCCCGACCCGACACGCACCTGAGCCAATCAACGGTGGAAGAAGGCGGGACTAAGAGCGGGCTCGGAGCCACTCGACCAATCAAGGAGTTCGAGGGGCCGGGTCGGCCCTGCTCATCACTCCCGAGTTAGAGTGAGCGCGTTCCACCCTCCGCCATCGCTCCCGGCGGGATTCTACCCCTTCAGACACAGAGAAGACGCTCGGGAAGTGTCTGCGTGCACCCCTGGAGCGCCGCGCCGGGCGTGGGACAGCTGAAGAAAGGGGAGGCTGCGGGACCAGGCTGAGGGAGAACAGGTGGCGGGGGGCGGCTGACGTGTAGGTGTGTTGGGCGAGAGGACAGCTGGGTGGGGCGGGGACCCAGCCTGGCCAGGGTCAGGTGGGAGCTGGGAGGATGCACCGGAGGAGAAGGGCGGTTCCTTGGGATCAAAGGGAAAAAGAGCTGCAAGTCCACAGCGCGAGCACCGGAGGAAGAAGGGCGGTGCTCCAAACTCTCACTTCTCTCCCAAAAGAAAGACAAAATGCTGCCCTTGCACCTAGTGGAGATGTACATTTGCACCCCAGGGAGAAAAAAAACCCCACAGTATCGTCAGGAAAGTCATCTCCACACAATAGTCTCTCTGCTTTTTCAAGGTTGCAATGTGCCCGGTGCCCCATGAAAGGCCCCTGAGAACTCCAGCCCGGGAATAGCCAGCCTTGGGGCAGTCTCGTTCCTGGAGAGTCTAGGAGGTCAGAGATCCGGCTCCGACCCTAACTAGCAGGTCTCTAGGGGCGACAGGTGAGAGGGACAGGATGTGCACCGCAGCCACCTAGCTTCCTCAGTTCCAGGTGAGCGGTCCAGCCGGTGCCTGGGCGTGGTCGGGGGCGGGCTCTGCTTTAGCCCCGCCCGCCTGAGGGCCCTGCCGCGCCGCTGCGGCTCCGCCCCCCTCCTTCCGTCATCCGCTCCTTCCGTCGGTAGTTTCTTCCTTCCTGCCTTGTCCCGCACCTTTAGTGACATGGGGAAGAGCTTCCTTTTCGCCAGCGCCACCTGAGGATTTTCCTGGAGCCGCCCCCCGCGATGGAAGACGACCAGGAGCTGGAGAGGTAAGGTTGGGTGGGGGGGAAGAGTGGGGTGGAGCGGCGGGTCGGGCCAGCCAAGCGGGTAGCGAAGGGGCGCGCGGCCGACTGCGGCCCGGCGTGGCGGCTAGGCCTGACCCCAGGCGCTGGGGAAGAGAGGAGAGCGAGTAGAGCCTGGCTGGGTTGGGGAGTGGGAGGAGCCATGGGTTTATTTATAACAGAAAAGCCCAGAGGTATGCTAGCCATCCGGGAGGGGAGAGAAGTTGGGAATCCAGCTGTAAGTCCCAAACTGCCATCCCCATTAGAACTGCCTCGTGTAAGGTCACACACTGGGCCAGCCGTCCCGATTGGCGCTCCTGGCGTGTTAAGTTGGCTAAAGTTACTGCAACTCCGCTCTGTGCAGACTGCTTGTAAATTCTCTCTGTCCACCAAATTCTCCCTCCTATTAAACTTTTCACTTCCTTTCACTTTAGTAGTTTCCTTACCTCTTTCAAATGGAAGCTGTAACTGAGCCTGCCACCCTGATAACGTGTGGTTGCCATTTTTATGCTAAAGTAATCGTGTTTTTTATGCCTGTCAACTCCCTTTTCATCTTCCAGCAGGGCCTACCCTATTGTAACTCTGCCCTTTTCTTTTGCTCTATCCGAAGATTTTGTAAACATTTAATTTTCTGAGATGAGCCACCCCCCTGCCCCCTTGCTGAAGTCAAATGAAGTAGGGAGAAACTAGAGTTAAATATTTATGACGAAGTGTGGAGGCAGGAAAATGAGGCAGTGAATCTTAAAAAGTTAATCAGGAAACGGTATTCCATATGATCTCATTCTTACAAAAAAAATATGTGTGTAGAAAAATATCAGGATTGAAGACCTCAATGGCTGAAGGCGAGAGGAAGACAGCCCTGGAAATGGTCCAGGCAGCTGGAACAGATAGACAGTGTGTGACATTTGTACTGCACGAGGAGGACCATACACTAGGAAATTGTCTGCGGTACATAATCATGAAGAACCCGGAAGTGGAATTTTGTGGTTACACTACAACCCATCCTTCAGAGAGCAAAATTAATTTGCGAATTCAGACACGGGGTGCACTTCCAGCTGTTGAGCCGTTTCAGAAAGGCCTGAATGAGCTCTTGAATGTCTGCCAGCATGTGCTTGTCAAGTTTGAGGCCAGCATAAAGGACTATAAAGATAAAAAGACAAGAAAAAACGAACCCACATTCTAGTCGCTCGTGCAGGGTACAAGCAGGACCACCCTCAGGATGGTGCAGAACCCAAAATTTGTGATTGCAGCATGTTCTGTCCTGTAGGAAAATGTGGCTCTAGCTGTTGGCCCATTACAGCTGTTGGAATCTCTGCAAGTATATTTGCCTAATAAATTCTCTCTTTTGCTTAAACTAGTTTGAGTGGTTTCTCTTCCTTGAACCTAGATGAACCCCAAGGATGGTGTTACCCCTTAATTGAACCAACACTAAAATCAAACAAACAGATAAGTGGGCCAAGTTGGGGGTTTTGATCAAAGATCTTAAAAAGACTGTTTATCTCTGTGTGATTGAGGTGCTGAGGAAAGGAGAGGTAAAATAGAGTGAGATCCATGAGACTGGAATTAAAAGGACTGGAAAGAAGATTGACAGAGGGACTTGAAGATTTTTTTTTTAAACTTATTCTATGTGTACACAAACATGCCATGCACACATGGGAGTCTGTTCTCTCCTCCCACCATATTGGAGCCATTTGATGATTGTTGGGCTTGGCAGCAAGCACGTTTTCCCACTAAAGTTTTTTTTTTTTTATTAATCTCACCAGTTTTTTTTATTAATGTAAATGCATCTTTTGATATGGTTAGTAGACTACCTTAATGATGAAGATAATATGAAGTACTCTTCAAAATTTTTATTTTTCAAGAGAATTTGAACTGGTGTCAAGCTCCATCTTTGTAGCATTTGTAGGGTAGATATCAGTATACTGCTTGAATTCCAGAACACTAATGAAATATATAGTCACAACATGAGTAAACCAGTTTTTATTAGGTTTTGTGCAGGCATGTTTGTGTGGATATGTACGTATGCATATAGAGAAGTTAACTGTGAGGGTGGTTCATCAGGAGCCGTCAACTTGTGTTTGGTTGGTTTTGAGGCAGTTTCACTAACTAGCCCAGGCTGACTTGGAACAGACTTGGTAAGCTTGCCTCTGCCCTAGTTTCTCACATGCTGGGGTTAAAGGCGTTCGTCAGTTAGGCGAGGCTACCCCAGGAACCCATGTGTATTTGCCTCCTGAGCACTGGGGTTGTAAGCTTAACCACCCTACCCAACTTCTTTAAATTCTGGAAATTGAAATCAGATCCTTAGAATTTGTAGCAAGTGATTCAGAAACTGAGCTGTCTCTCCAGCTCCAATTTTAATTATTGGGAAAACTGGAACTATCAGGTAACATTTTTAGTCTTTAGGTAGGTGTACCAATAGAACCCAGGGTTACATAGAAGAGATAATATTTGATAGAAAGTCAGGATTTGGAGGAGGAGAATTGTATATGGAAGAAGTGACATTTTGGGGAACTTAAAATATTAACAAAGCATATCGCATCCGAGAGTCATCTGGTTTATCTCTTCTATCCTTTCTTGTAAGTATCCTACCCAGGTGTGACTTCATTCACCCTACATGTCTGTCAGCCCTTGAGTCAGTCACTTCTGCTCTAGAGTTTTGTTGCTTTGGGGTCTTTGATGATGCTTGTCTTCAGTCAGAGCTTCATTGTCTGCTAGGGATGGTGACGCATGCCTGTAATCTCAGCATTCAAAAGATGCAAACAGAATTACAAATTGAAGGTCGGAATGACTGTATAACAAGAGATTGCCTCAGAAACACATCGCCAATACACTTAAGACACGAAACCCTTGCCACACACCTTTAATCCCAGCACGATGGAGACAGGCAGGCAGATCTATATAAGTTTGAGGCCAGCCTGGTTTTCAGAGTGAGTTAGGAAGGCCAAGGTTACTCAGAGAAACTCTGAAAAGCCAAAAAAGAAACCTTTAAGTTAAATTTGGCCTCTTCTACCCTGCCAAGAGCCTGTATTTCCTACACTTGGCCCACTTTATAAAAAGATACTTTTATATTCATTGAGTGCCTGGATTGTACTAGGCCTTGAAAATAGATAACAGTAGGAACTTACTTGTTTTTGTTTTTTGAAAAAGGGTTTCTCTGTAGCCCTGGCTGTCCTGGAATCCCATGCCTGGGTTTATGAACTACCATTGCCTGGCTTGGCAGTAGGAATTTTTTAAGTCATAGTTTTGTGGAAGACACAAATATGGGGCCAGATAGAGAACTTGAGAAGTATCTGCTTTGAGCACAGAAACCAGGGAAGGTCTCCCAGAGGTCATAGGAAAAGAAGGTGGTGACTGTGCAGAGAGAGAGAGAGAGGAAATGCATGCTTGGGGGAGGGGGGGGGGGACCGGGAGCTGGTCCTGAGTAGAAGCTAAAGGTCGGAGAACTGAACTATTCAAATGATTTAGTATAGCAGATAAGGCGAAGGGCCCATTTTCCTGACTCATTGAGGAAAAGAGCTGGGGTGCTGTGTTATTTCAATTACAGTGTGGGATGACAGGGCAGATGTAGCAAAGCAGCCCAGAATGTTGATACACGGACAATAGGGAGAAGGGTGAAGTCCTAGGAACGGGATGATACGGAACCAGATGTTTCCATCTCCAGCCTAGGATTGGGGCCAGTTACTAGTACAAGGAGCTTAAAAGTCAACTGCTCTGTTTTGAAGATTGCAGGCCATGGGAGAGATCTAAGCTGAAAGTAAACTGAGTCCTGATCCTAAAGATGTAAGTCAACAGAGGCTGGAAAGTGATAAAGGAAGGGGCCAGGAACCAAGCCTCAGGCCACCTCAGTGTTCAAGTATGACTAAAGAGTAACTGATAAGATAGTAAAGTCTGCTGGAAGTAGAGCTCTGAAAGCCAGGGAAAGTGATGCTGAGTAAGTCAGCCCTGCAACTGGGGGAGAGATGGTCCTTTGTGAATTAGCACGGAGGACACTAGGCTGTGGGCCGAATTCATCGGGGTCTAAGGAGAGGATTCTGCTGAGAAGTGGCTTGGTTTTGAGTTTTCCAAAACTAAAATATACATGGCCATTAGAGCGGTATGTTCAGGTGGCAGCCAGAGTGATGAAAGCTCAGCCAAGATAAAGAATACTATAGGGTGGAGAAGATTCAAGAAAACCAATCTTGAAGTAGGAAGATTGGAAGGTGTAAGAAAGTCCAGTTAGAGAAGACAGTCTATCAACTGGTGAGTACCACCGGATCTCACAGTTTCAGTGCAGTAAAGGGTTGTCACTCATCCTGTGGCGTGCAGTGTAAATCTGTTTAGGGTGGCCATAAACAGACTCACATAAAAATGCCTGTAGAAGACAGATGGGCTCAGGGAGAATCAAGAGTGCCACGTGTGTGGACAGAACTGTGCAGACTGTAGGAACTAAAGGAGGGCTGAGAAAGCTCCAGGCGTTGGTGAACCCTCAATACCTGCAGGCAGAGGCAGGTAGAACTCTGAAGTTGAGGACAGCCTGATCCTATATAGTGAGTTCTGGGCCAAGGCCATGAAAGAAAGGACAGGGAGTATGGGGGAGACAGATTTGTACTTGAATCATTTATTTATATAAACTGAAAAATCGTCACTACTGCACTTGCTCTCTAATGACATTGCACTCGAACCGTTGTAGTCAGAATGATTAAAAATCAGAAGTTCTGTTTAGCTGTAAAACCCCGTGCCCTCGAAAGAGCCAATCATTAAATAATGTGCCTATATATCAAAGGCTTTTAATATCTAATAATTCTGAGTATCTGGCTTAGCACTTGCCATTTTCAAAGCACTTTACAAACTAGTTCTAAATTACATACAGCAGTAACATCTAAGTGCCCTAATTAATTGGCATAATACAGCTTTGTGAGTATCTCTATAGAGAAGAAAATGTGTCTACATAAAAAGTGACCCGTTTAGTTGTGACCCAGAGCATCTTGCATCTCAAGAGATAGGAAAGCATATTGGAATCTTTGGCCCATGATTGACTACCCTTCTTTTCAGTTCATTTATTAAGATCATAGTCTCCGGGGGAAGGAAAAGAATAAAATCAAAATATATTTGAAAAAAATTTTAGTTGAAAAGAAATTTTTTGAGGATGAGGTTTGAGACAGGGTCTCTGTATAGCCCTAGCTGTTCTGGAACTCACTCTGTAGACTAGGCTGGCCTCAGACTTAGAGATCTCTGCCTCCTGAGTGCTGGGATTAAAGGTGTGTGCCACCACATTCAGCTAATAAAATATTTCAAAAGATTATAGTCTTCCAGGTCTTTAGACAAAGGTCAAATTTTTGGTTAACTTCATTTATAGATTCCAATAATCTTTGGAACATCCTTCAAATAGAGCCCCCAAGAGATGCTTCTAGACCCACCAGCTTACTTTCAAAGACCTATAGTAACTCCATATCTAGCCTTTTCTGATCAAATTCTTAATACTGTGTTTTCTTTTGCTGCTTTAGATTATATAAGACATTGTGATACAGTTGCTGTTTGTATCCATTTATTTCAAGAATGGAGTGCTTATCACACCTATCTTACACTGGACCTCACACTGTCTACTTAGCAAGTAAGGCCTGATAGCACCATCCTGAGAAACAGTGAGAAGGAGAGTCTAATGAGTCTGTTCTAACAAACCTTCTGTGGTTTGGGCGGGGCAAATGAATTGTACATAGGAAAAAGAAGACTTTGTTTTAATGTGTGGTGGTGCATAGGTAAGTGCAGAACATAAAATGTAACAGATAAGGGCTGGAGAAGTGGCTCAGCTATTAAGAGCACTGACTGCTCTTCCAGAAGACCTGAGTTCAATTCCCAGCAACCACATGGTGGTTCACAACCATCTATAATAGCATCTTATGCCCTCTTCTGGCACCCGGGTATATAGTACATGCAGATATAGCGCTCATATACATAAAAGTACATAAACAAATCTTAAAAAAAAATGTAACAGATAAGACAGAATTGAGGCAGTTGCTATTTTGTGCACGCCCACCTACTCTTGGAATGACCACCTAGACACTAAAGACAGAAACAAGGCAGGTGTAGTCTGCTTTCCAGGATCTTGGGAAATACTCGTTAGTAGATTGTGAAAGAAATACCAGTGTTCAGAGATGTATGGCTTTCCTCTTTTCCAATATAAAGGAGCCATTAGCTGGACCTGGTCTCTCATGCCTAGTAGTACTGCAGTAGAAGGGTCTCAAGTTCATAGATAGCCAGGACTACAACAAAAGATCAAAGCCCAACCTAAATACCTCAGTAGAGACCATGCTCAAACCATGGGGATGGCTTCACATGTAGCTCTGTGGTACAGTCCTTGCCCTAGCTTGTATAGGTCTG